CATGAACAGCAAGATGCAGAGCAGCTGGCTCTTCTGACAGGGGTCGGGTATGAACAAGGCCAGGAGCCGGTCCAGCAGCCAGTAGCATGGGAAGATGAGGGCCCAGGACACGGCGTGCAGGGCGGACAGACAGCTGTTGGGGAAGGGCGTCGTGTACAAAACCATCGCAGCTCACTGGGCGCCGCAGTCGGCCCTACTACATGTTGTCCGTGGCAGCGCAGGCACGTTCCCGGGTGGGGTGGGCGAGTGGGGAGCAGGCGGGGGAGGGGTCACCTCCTGGTGAGACGTGACTCTGGAGGGCTGGTGGCGGCTGTTGGCCAGCCGGTCATGGCTCCCCTCAGTGGGCCATGCTAGGCCACCGAGGCCTGCTGGGGAACCTGCAAGACAGAAGGCGAGGGGCCTTTTATTCATTTTTCGGGGAGCGGACTGGATGCCAGGGCCGCTGTCCCCGTTCACCCCGTTCCTGCTCCCTCGGACGTGAGCAGGACCAGACGGGGCTAGCGGGCTTGCACGGGTGTCTGGGGCCAGGAGCTGGTCACAGCACGCTTCGTTGGCCTGTGGGTGTTAGGTTCTCTCGGAGTAGAGAGCTATGTGACGGGACTGCCTCTGGCCGAGCATCTTGATCTTCTGGCCCAACTGCCCGAAGTCTGGCCCAGCAGAGGAGCATGGCTCTGTGGCAGTTGGGTGGGCAGGCTGGGGACCCCAGAGGGCGCCTGGGCCTGACACTGGTCTTGCAGGGAGCCTGGGGTGGGTCTGAGGGGGTCCTCAAACCACAGCCGTCTGTCACCAAGTGTCCACCAGGTCCGAGTGAAGAGAGAACAAACACAGAGAAAAGTGACCCCAGAGTGCTGGGGTAGAGGGCAGTGCGCTGGCAGGACCCCCGACAGGAGGGCTCCCCCACAGCCAGGCTCTCCCCGTACCCCAGGACTCAGCGTCCAGCCACTTCCGCCGTTTCACCCGTGCTGACCCCTGGCAGAGATGCCTACCCAGTGAGGATCCAGGGACAGCCCAGACCTCACTGTCAGCCAGAAGGGTCATAGCTACCCAATCGCAAGGGACCTCGATGGTCCCTGCAACTTTTGGAGAAGCTCCCTGGGGCTTTGAGGCCTGGCCCAAGCTTCTTCCTTTAAGCTCCCAGGACGCCGCTGCCGGGCCCGGCAGAGGCCCAGAGCCGCTGGAATGAGTCCACCCTGGTCCCATCTCAGAGCAGGCCCCAGGGCCCCACCTGGGAGAGGCCACCGGGTGCATTTATTGTGCTGACTATAGAATCTGCAAAGTCGAGATGTTTACCCAGCCTCCGGGGACCTGCCGTGGTCATGCTGTGGCAAAGTTTACAGGAGCACAACCCAGAGTTTTTGTCACCAGGCCAGCTGGGGAGTCATTTCTGGTTCGCTGTCTCACCGACCCAGCCCGGCTTCTGCCCTGGCTCCTTTGGGGCCAGGGTGTTGCTGTCCATCCTGGCTGGGAAGGCGGCACAGGCGGGCTTGTCCACCCTGAGGGGCACTGTCACATCGTGTGAGGCTCAGGCTTGGCTGAGCCCTGGCTGTGAGAATAGCTCTGGAGAAAAGATTTGGGAGGAGGGGAGGGTCTGTACTGGCCCATGGCCCTCAGGACAGCTGGAGCTCTGTGATGGTCAGAGGGGAATGTGGCCTCGCTTCATAAAAGGCTTCCTGAGAAAGTCCCCAACCTGTGCTCCCACGAGTTTCGTCCCCAACGCTGGCTGATCAGGGCTGGCACTTGCTATTAGCTGGGATAGGACTGGCGGTGAGGGAGGGGGTCTCCTTATTCAGCTGCCCTGTGTCTTCCTCACTCCTGCTACGGCCCCCCAAACCCTTCTGGGCAAGTTCCCTCCAAAGCCCTGCCTGCAGTGGCAGTGAGTGGCCAGGCCTGATCTTCCTGCCTCCCCAGGCTGGCCATAGGGATATTTTTGGTCCCCATTCAGGCATCACGGGGTTTAGGTGGCCCAACGGGCCAACAGGCAGCAGCGGCCGCCGTGACAGTCTCCTAAGATACGGCAGATCTGAGCACCCCAGCCCTTCCTGCACGCCACGCTAGCCCTTGGCAGCTGCCCCGAGTGACCCGTCCAGAGCCCTCCCCTGCCGCCCTCTGGCAGGGCCTCGGGTGCTGCCCCCGCCCGCCATCGCCATCCCTGCACGTGCGCCCAGGAGCCGCTGGTGCTGCCGACACAAAAGGGTTTGCTACCAGCGGAGCTGGTTTCAAAAGCTCTGTGGTTAATTATTCTGTCTCAGTGAAACGAAAGGAGGGTAAACAAACAACAACACATTAATTAGTCTGATCTACACTTTCCCCATGAAAGAGGAGAGCGCAAGTTAAATTTTGGAGGCCGGCAACTTCGGCTGCCCTCCAGTGAACCCTGGAGTCCCGCAGGGGCGGCGGGGCGGGACCCGGGCGCACACACACCCGGCCTGCAGGCCCGTCCAGGCCCTTGCTCTTGCCTGTGGCCCTTGGCCGCGTGGGCCATGGTGGGTGCCGAGCCCAGGCCCTGTCTCGAGCGAAGAGCAGCCCTCCTCTCCTCCACACTTCGGTTCTCTGCTCCCCTGTCCTGGGGGCTGGCACCTTTGTCGAGCACGGTCTACTGTGCGTGTCTGATGGGCTGACGAGTCCCTCAAAGGCCATGCGTGCTGAGCTGTCACAGCCACCTCCCCCCCCCCAACACACACACACAGGCTGGGTTGCTCTTCCAGGTTCCTATTTAAGAGCTGACAACGACTCTGGGTTTATTCCTCGTCAGTCCTGGTTGTGGCTTCCAGGGCTGGTCGGGAGTCCTGGACGCCCTCAGCTCCTCGTGGCCATTCCTGAGCCCTGGGGTCAATGTGTGTGGGGGCTACACAGTGCTCCCAAAGAGGGCGACCTCTCTGTCCTACAAGTGGAGACCCCAGACTCCACCCTCACCCCACCTCATTGCTCCACACTCAGCTTGGGCTCCAGACCCGGCTCACCTGGGTGAAGCCCTGGCGCCGGGGGCAGGCCTGCTGGGCCTCTGACTCACTGTCGGTGACACGGGGGTGGCAATCCCCGTCTCCCAGGGCTGTCATGAGGATGAAAGCCAGACAGGCCACTAAGATGGCCAGCCCTGTTCCCTTCCCTACCTCCCCCTGTCCTTGACCTCTGCCCCCGAGGACGGCCCATGTGCCCTGTTGCTCTCCCGGCCAGTGGACTTCCCGGGGTTCCAAGGCAGCACCAGCCAGTTCGCAGACTGTTCTGGGGGCAGCCTGAGCCCACCTGCCGAGCGCCCAGGTCCCTGCCTGACCCGAAGACCTTCAGGTCATCAGAGATGCCGTTTACTCTGTGCACGTAGGAGCCCGTTCACTAACTCGTTCTTCCCCCTGCAGAGGGGACTGATGGGGCCTGATCGTGACCAGGAGGCTGGGCTGGGGAGCCAGCATGGACAGAGGGAGCAGGGAGCGCCACGGTTTGCAGGTAGACTGAGGCGGGCAGGGAACTGGCCCAGGGAGTTTCGGGAGCCCAGACGACCCTAAATCTGGAGGGAGTGGGAGAGTGTTTGGTCAGGGCCTGGTCAGGGCCTGGCCAGGGCCTGGGGGGTGACGGGCCCAGACGTGGGACATGGACAGCAAGCAGCTTTACCCTGCAGTTGCTCCTGTGGGTTACCGATGACCTGCAGTGACCTGTCAACACTGAGACAGCTTATCGTTAACCCGTGGCCGGCAGGCACCACAGCCTGTAAAGGGGGGGTCTTGGACTGCTCCAAGGCCAGAGCCCTTCCCCCTGTGCACTGTCTTGAGGGCCCCCAGGCCAGCCACTCTGCCACCCCCTGGTAGGGCATCCTCAGGAATGGGGCCTGGTCCGGTCTGGCCCAGTTTAGGTGTTGAAGATAGAAGGTAGGGTGGGTCCCCAACAGCCTTTTGGGCAAGCTACCACTGCGTGCCAAATGACCTGGACACCAGGGCGGCCGGTCCATTGCCCGTCTCCCTGGGAAATGGTCCTGGCACGCGTGGAATGCAGAAGACCTACTGCACAGAGGCTCAGAGGGTCCTGGGTGGGTGCTGACTTTGAGTTTGAATTTCTTCTACAGTGGGAAAGTGAGCAAATCCTTAGTTCTGCTGGCCCCACTGAGGAAGCCTGCATCATCTTTTGGGATCTCTGAGTCTTGGGGAAGCAACTTCTGGAAAGTTGATGGGGGTCAGGAGTTCCCCATGTGAGGCTAGGATGGGACCTGTCCCTCCTTCAAGGCCCTTGCATCTGGTCCTCCTCTTTGCTGAGCCTTCCACAGAGCAGCAGGGCTGGCAGTCCGGGAGCAGAAGGGCCTCCTCCCATCCATCCTCTTTGTGTCACAGGCTCCTGTCTAGCGGGAGCCGGGCCAAGCCCCCGGTTTCCACAGGAAAGGCCGTGAGGGTTGCTCCAATCCAATTACCGGAATGTGCTCACATCAGCTGGCAGCCCTGTGATCGGCCGGCCCATTTCTGCCTGGATGTTTGCCAGGGAGGGGTTGGCATGGCAACGTGAGCTCTGAGCTGCTGAAACTTGAAGTCAACTTGCAGCTGGGAGGGCAGAAAGAGCAATCGGAGAGACCGCCTTTCTGAGTGATGCAGGTCAGACAGATCCATGCCAGTCCCTACGGGCTGCATCCCAGAAGCAGAGCTGGGGTCTGAGGTCTGCGGTCTGGCATGACACGTGCCCCAGTGGCTGTGGTGACTGCCGTCAACACAGCTGCGCCGGGTAAATGCCTATCGCCCTTCTAGATGCCGAACATCTGCCTGCCCTTTCTTGAAACCCTCTCCAGCCTCCCTACCCCTCCTATGCACAGTCCCCAACTGCCCCTCTGATCAGGCACGTTTCTGTTTGCACGTCAGGCCGTCCCCGTGGGCTCCCCACCCCAGCCAGGGAGCTCCCAGCGCAGACTCAGGCCAGTCCCAGCCTGCCCTGCGTCTGGCCGTGGCAGGCCCACTTCCGTCGGCCCCACTCCAATCCAGGGGGAGGGCCGTGAGCTGCACCAGACCAGTCAGCACCGTGGCCTCCTGACCCCACGCTGAATGGGTCACGTGACCCGCGCTTCCTCTGGAGTTCACTGGACCCCTCAGCAAACAGGACTGCACTTCCTCTGAGACGGAAGCACTAAGAACCTGAAGCTCCTGGAGAGTGAATCCAAGGCCGAGGGAAAAACCTTAGGGCCGGAAGGGGAGAGGCCAAGTCACGGTGACATCTTCGAGCTCCATTTTCCCTGTGCCTGCAGCCAACACAACTCCAAGACTTTCTCGTTAGTAAGTCAACAAATTACCCTTTTATTTGCACTGGTCACTTTGAGTTGCATTTCTGTCACGTCCCACCAAAGAGACCCTGCCTACTACATACTAGCTACATGCCTTCTAAAACCCAATTCTCATCAGTTCCTTTTCTATGAAAACCTCTTGTGGCCCTGGCCTGCCCACGGGGCTGAGGGGGGCTCCCTCCTGGTACATGGAGGCCCTTCAACTCCTGGTGCCCAAGGGTTGTGCTCAGTGGGCATCCGTCAGGTGAGAGCCCTGCCAACATCACGAACACAAACTCTGGGGTCAGCCGTGCTGGGCAGGCCCTCCTGCTGCATAGTGGACACGCTGACCCTCTGCGCCATGGTCTCTTCATCCGGCGAACAACGAGTAGCCACCCTCTATCAGGGAAGTCAGAGGTGACGCGCGGGCTGCCCTCACACAGTGCCTGCCACATCTCCTGTAACGTTTTTATTCCTGCCACTACTGGTAGTTTTCTTGCTGCGGAGGCCCTCAAGACACAGCTGGAACCTCGAAGTTTCCTCCTTGTCTGTTCGATTGCTTGACAAAAAAGGCACCCTGCTCTCTGAGCTGCAGGGTGAGTGAGGGTGGTGCAGCGGGGTGTCTGCTGTGGGCTGCTGTGTGAGCCCCAGTCACAGGCTCCTGCAGCAGCCAGGTGCAGGCAGAGGGGCTATAAAATTTTCAAAGAAACTTTCTGTGGGAGCTATTAATGCATCATGTGGTTTCTGAGAATAGGCACAGGCTGCAAGCAGCTCTGTGGCACTCCCTCAATCAGCCTCGGCATTTCCATGTCAGAACTCAGAAAGCCCAGATTAAGCTGCTTCTTGCGTGACTGGAAAGCAAATCTCAAGCCAGGTTGGCAGCGTATGTGCCAGGGGTGCCTGAACCAACCTAATGTTTGAGACAGCAGCGCCCTGTGTTCAGGACCTGGCGCTGCAGTGACACGGGGCAGCTGCCCCGAGAGCCTGGGCTCTGTCACAGGAGGGGCTGAGTTTGAAGATCTGAGCCCCCTACCCTCTACTGCCTGCTATTTCAGAACCATCATCTATTGGTGACTGAAAAGGGGGCCATTAAGGTCAGGTTGGGTGGTGGCTGGCACCGGAATCCACACCTGAACCATTTTGAGCAGCATCTCTCCTTCCCCTGGGCCCCTGTATTTTGCCCAAGAACCTGCCTGCAGCCAGATCTGCCTGCTCTGAGTCTGCTGTGAGCTGAAGCCCCCAGGGCTCCCCCAGTCCTGTGCTCTCCCGGAGGCTGAGCCCAGGGTGCAGCGAGACAGGGGTGAACATCAGGTCCGGGATCGCTCTGTTCAGAGTGTCTTCTCCACACGGGCCCTGACAAGGGCAGCTCCGGGGCAGGCCTGGAGCAGGCAGTCGTGACTACCAGGGAGGGAGCTCCAACACCCTTCAGTGAGGCTCAAATCAGGGGTCACTGCCAACAGCTGGGCATCTAGATGGGCATGGGCCTCTCGCCTCCGGTGCTCTGAGACCGCCCAGGTGCTGCGGCCTGAGCCTGGACTGAGTGAGTCTCACAAACAGCCACAGGCAGGGGATCCTGGAACTGCCCAGCAGGTCGCATCACCTCCCTCAGGTGAGCACTGTGGCCTCTCCTGTGTGACTGAGTGCCAGCCCCCAACATGCTCCCCGCTGGCCAGTGCCACCTCTACCTGCAGGAGAGACCCTCCCAGGGACAGAGACCAGGAGGAATCTGGCTTCTCTCAAACGCTCTGCTGTTGAGGCTTCTGTTCCAGCAAAGTCCCTGTGTCCCTGACACTGCAATTGATGTTAATGGTTCACGAGCCAAACAAGGCTGGGAACACACTTTGCTTGAGAAGAAATGACAACATACTTTCTGTGGGAGTAGAACTTTAAATACACGTCCGTACAAGTGGTGTGATTGATGCGGACCCAGTGTTCAGCTGTGTCTCAAGCACAGCCTTTCCTCCGGGGATGGATTGGCCTACTGAGTGGTGTGTAGGCATTTCGAGGCACCAGAGAACACAGATGAAGACAACAAGCCTTCCTAAAACAGAACAGACTTGCTAAAATTCTTCTGAAGGGACTCATTTCACATTTGGCCTTAAGTTGTCTATGCAAAGAACATTTAACAAACTGAGTACCAGAGGAGAATTCATGCAGAGATTAAAAAGCAAATCAGTGCAAACGAGTAAATAAATCAGGCAAAAGCATCTCACCAAGCCCCCTGCAGCCCTGGGGAGCTGGGGCTGAGGCCAGATTTCTGGACTGAGGCTGAATCTCACTCACTACTGAGGGCTGAGGCCCTTGCCCTGGGACCTTTCAGAGACCTTGGACCCTGGGCCACCACTATGCTGAGGTCCTACCTCTGCACCTGGTACCGCAGGAGCCCTTGGCTCAGAGAACCAGCCTGAAGACCACCTCCCCTTGAGAGACGGTGCCCCAGCTCAGGCCAAACCATGGGCTGCCTTCGGGGCTGTGCAGGGCCTAGGACTGGGGAGAGGACTGGGGGCAGCTGGGTCTGCTGCTCAGGGGAGTAAGACCTGGAGTTTCGTCTGCACAAGATGGTAAATCCGTTGTTTGTCTGCAGCAAAGACCAGGAGGGAAGGGACGGTGGGGGTCTAGAGTGGCCCCAGTTCCCTCTAAGTTCTGCCACCAAAGCTGCTTCCAAGGGTCTTCTGAGGCTCTGGGTTCCAATCACTCCTGACCCTCCAGCAGTGGTGGCCCGTGTATACCTGCGTGGAACCCTATGCTTCTGAAAAGGGTGACAAGAGCTCTTGGCTCTGGTTGTGGAGGTTTGTGTCCCCAAATTGCTGGTGTAGACATGCTAATGAAGAGAGTGACCATCTTCATTCTCAGGAGTGACTGATTTAAAATGGGACAAGCATGCTTTGTCCTTGTGAAGATAAGGACAGGCTTTTACTCTTTGCTCACATCTGCCTCTGGCCTAGGACTGGACCCTTGCCTCACTTTCTCTGGTCCCTAGAGCAGCTGGAGCCTGCTTTCCAGGCAGGAGGCAGGATTGCACTTCCCAGGCCCCTTGTGGTTGGGTAGATCATGTGACTAGTTCTGACCAATGAGCTGAGGGTAAAAGTGCTACAAGGCACCTCGGGCCAGAGTACTTAACAGCAGGCGTGAGACCTGCCAGAGCCCTGTCTCTGCCAGAGTCCTGTAGGATTTGGGTTGGTGGCTGCTCTGTCAGCCTGGGTGCCAGGTTGGGGAGACATGGAGCAGGACACCAGCTAACTCACGTGAATTAGCTGGGGTGAGAAGAAAATCCTGGATGATAAGCCACAGCATAACCCGTCCCATCCTGACCAACAGATGAAGGCTTCTGATTCAGCATTTAATCAGCCCATTTACCAAAAATAGGCCCTACTGATGGACAGCTCTCAATTTCCCAGGAATATAAACAGGAGTAGCTTTTACACCCTCCTCTCTTCCAGAAAGATCTTTGTTTTAAATGGTAATAGTGATGTTTCTCTGCCCTGAATTCTGCTTTGTGTCCGTGGTCCTCAGGACTATGAGGTCTCAGGGGAACTGAGCAGTAACCTTTTAATTTTTAGTGGAAACTGTTTCTGCTGAGAGACGAGGCCCTGGCTGGAGATAGAGGCAGGAAAGTGAACCCACAGACATGGGGAGGTAAGTCCATTGGAAGCGGCTCACAAAGATCAGTGTTGGGGGTCGGCCCCAGGGCCCGAGTAGGGCCTGCAGCAGGTGGGCTGTGGGGGACTGCAGCTTGAGATGGAGCCAGCAACCCATGCTCGATATCCCAGGGCCAGCCCTGAGAGGCCGGGAGGGGCCAGACACAGCCAGGTCATGCTGGCTGACAGGTGCATGCCGGGGCTGGAGAGGGGAAGGGGCCAGGCTGCAGCTGGTGGGCGGCAGGCTGGGGGTGCTCAGGACATGTTTCCTATGAGTCAGCAACAGCACTGGGCTGCAAGGGATATTTCACAGCAAGGGCCAGGAATCTGGGGGCAGAGCCTTTGCTTTCTAGGCGGGTATACTCGAGTGTGGGGGTGTCTTCCTAGAGGGTGTGGAGACAGGAAAGTGGTAGGCTGTGGGTGGAACCAGTAGTGAGTGAGGGAGGGAGGTCAGGTAGGGCACCAGAGAGCTGAGAACAGGCACTAGGACAGCAGAGTCACTCAGGAAGTCCCAACTGCCAGGCCACTGTGACCACCCGATCCCAGCCTACGGGCCAGGAGGAGATGCGGCCAGGGGGTGAGCAGCTATGGAAAATGGGCCGAGAGGAGGATCAGACACGTTCACTTACAGTTCATCCCTAGTCGGATCTGTGTAATTCAAACACTTACAATGTCTGCTTAGCACCCCGCCTGCACCACAAAGACCCAGCCAGCTCAAGCAATGAGCCCCGAAAGCCCAGCGTGTGGGCTGGGTCTGTGTCCCACTCTGGGAGGGCTGAGTGACACTGGGGCTGGCTGGGGTCTGGGCAGCCACCCAGCCCGGGGCTGCCGGCATCACCGCCACTGCTACACAGAAGGTAGACGGGGTGTCTCACTAGGCTTTCTGGTAAAGTTTTGGAATGGAAATGAACGGAACAGAGGTCAGCACCAGTGAGGAACAGTTTGTGCAGTTTTAACCAGATCTGCTGGAAGCAATAGGCCCAACAGGAGGCTGATGCTCCTTGATCCTCATCTGTCTCTCAGCTCCCTGCCCCCTGGGGCCAGCCACCCTCCTTCTCAGAGCCCTTTGTGGTCCCCTCTCCCCAACTCCCCTTCAGAGCGGGGCCTCCCAGGGCCCTGCCTCCTCTGACCTGCCCTCTGTTCCGCCTCCTCCCGAACCCCTGCCCCCATTCCCACGGCCCACCATGCTCAGTCCAGGCCTCCCCCTTTCCCACCTGGATCCTGCAGCTCCACTATCTGGCCCCCCTGAGCTGGCCTCCTCTCTCTGGTCCACGTGGCAGCTGGTGGGATCTTTCTGTACTGCACATTGGACCACACTGCTCCCCTGTTAAACTTTCCAGCGGTCCCAGCTGCCCTCCCAGGAAAATGCACCTGGCAGCGAAGGAAGGGCAGGGAAGGGCAGACTCGGCTCAGCAGCCTGATGGCTCTGCTCCCCTCCCACTTCTGGCGTCCCGGGGCCCCTGCCCTGCACAGTTGCCACCACACCCCGCTGGACCACCACGCCTCCGCTGGGGCTCTTCCCTTGCCCTCATCTGTGCAAAGGGAGAAGGGCTCAGCGGAGGGGCTTAGGTTTGGAAGTCACAGGGATGGTCTCTTCACCAAACCCTAGCCAATCCCCTACTCTCTGGCCCTAGGAATAACTAGAGACCTTTGGCTTAAACGGGCCATCTCTGTCTCGACAGCTGACGGTGCCTGTGCGTTTATCATGTGTTTGCAGTCTGCACACCAGAGAGGCGACCGGCCCCTCCCGTCTTCAGATCTGCCGAGCTGGAAACAGACCTGAGAGAGAGGAGGCCTGAGCAGTGTCGGGAAATTTCTTCCCTCAGAACAAAAGGAGGGAGACTCTTAAGTGTCTGGCCCTATGGGGTGACTCTGCAGCACCAGAACCCTGCCCTCAGGGCTGACACCGGCAGCCTTGGAGCTCGGGGAGGAGGGACGAGGTGCTCCCCAGCCACTTCAGCCTCCAGTCCCGGGGAATGTGGGCTCTGGGTTCCAACTCCGAGGCCCGTGTCCCCTGGCAGGCACTCGGGGTGTCATCCCATCACCTGAGCCTAGCTGTGTGTCGGGCACGTATATAACAGGAGCCCGGATGACTGACCGACGAGTGTCAGCCCTGCCCCCTGCAAACCTAGAGTCCAGCCAGGGTGGCTTCAGCAGTGCCGCTCGCCCCGGGCACCAGCAGCCTGCTCAGGGCCGCAGACTCATTCCTGCCCTCCCTTCCTTCCTCTGTCCCTGTGGGGTGGGGACACGGCTATGAGCCAGTCCGTGGCAAAGCCATGAGGGAGACTAGAAATGAGCACGAGACGAGCAGAGCTCACAGATCCACTTCTTGGGGACACCTGAGCAGATGTTGCACGGCACACACCTCCCAGGACACGCTCTTCTCACCAAGGGTGCACTGTCCCAAGTGGGTACCACTGGCCCTGTTTACACTTGAGAAAACTGGGGCTCAGAGAGGTAAATGACAGTCCCTGGGAGGGGCAGCCAGGTCACCTAACTCCAATTTCCCCTTCCTCGCTACCTTTCTCAGCAAGGCTGAATACAAACGATACGCAAACACATTCGAAATACGTGAGTGAGCGCTGTCCGGACCAAGGTTCCCGGCTCCGGGACAAGTTCCTGGGAAGAGTAAAAAACTCCCAGCCCACCTCCCTGGTCCTGCTTGTTTCTACCGCTTAATTCCCACAAAACGAGATGCTCACTACTTTTATCCCAGTCCCCTTAGGTGACATTTGTCACCCGCTCTCACGAAGGCCTCGGTGAGGATCCCAATAATCTTCCTCCCTCCATGTGGGCTGTCGGCCTCATCTACCTCTTTTGTTCTTCCGTCCGGTCACCTTGGACCCCCCAACTCTCTGCCCCAGCCTGGCAACACAAAAAACATTTAATTTGCCAATCTTTGACAGAGGAGAGGATCTTATGATGGTCTTACTCTCCTGGCTCTGGGACTGAGGTTCCCCACATTAGGGGGCTGCTAGTTTCTGCTGTCATTGCTGAGAACGGCCCAGTCGTTTGAATTATTTCTCTGGGACGGATTCCAGAGTGGAGTCGCTTTCGAGTTTCTGCTGAGTGTTGCCGAGCTGCTTCCCACCCGAGTGGTCTGAGCCTGCCTGTTTCACAGCATCCTTACCAGCTCTGGGTTTTAGCATTAACGTGTTAAAAGAGTTTATCGGAAAATGAAATCTAGTTCCACTTTCCAGGATATTTAAGTTGTATTCCTTCATTTTTTGTGAGGTGCTGCCTCAATCCTTTTATATGCACCGAAGGAGTTTTTGTTTTCTCCACCGATTTGGGTGTACCGGATGTACCCCTCCCCCCCACCCCAGTCCACGGGAGGGCGGGTTCAGAGTAGGACCGAACTGCCCACCCGATTGCTTAACCCAGAGCTGTGTTTTCAGACTTTCTAACCAAGCAGCAGAGTCTTATCTCACAGAACCTCACAGAGCCCCTCTGCACAAAAAACCCTAATAAGTGGCGGATGGGGGAAGGCCCGGAGCGCTATCTCCCTCCCCTTCCGGGGACCCTGTCTTACCAGCACAAAGGCCTCTGGGACCTTCTTTTCCTTCGGTCTGAGGAGGGCGTCGCTCTGGAGTCAAGGACCTGAAAAGAGACGATGACCGATGACCGGTTTACAAAGGTGCCTGGAACTCAGCCCACAGCAGAACAGCCCCGCACAGGTGACCCAGGTACAGTGACCCGGGGGCCCCACCCACGCTGTTGGAGGCGCTGCCGCGCCCTCCCCTGCTGTGCTCTGGACTTAGTACAGCCAGAGGGGGCGGGGATGGAGGTTTGTGTGGCCGCCCTCCACCCTGCAGCGCGGGGGAGGTCGGATCGGAGCTCCAGCGGGGGTCCCGGGACTGATCAGACAGGTGAAGCTGGCACGGTCGGACCTCTCCCGGGAGTTTTTTGTGATCTCATCCTCGCAAAGAGAGCTGGAGATGGGAGAAAACTGAGCCCGGGCCCAGGAATGGGGACCGTGGGTCCCGGGCCTGGGCTGGTGGAACGGGGGAGGAAGCGTGTGGAGAGGAAGAACTAGAAGCATTTCGCAGTGGATAAGCGGTCAGGAGTAGGCAGGACTGTGGAGGAGAGGCTCAGAGGGGACACTTTTGTGAACCTGTTGGGGTCTTTGGAGGGGGCAGTGGCCGGGGGCGCTCACGTCAGCAGAGGCCTTTGGAAACGATGCTATCAGCTTCCGGCCTCCCTCGCAGTCAGCCTGAGGCTCTGCTGCCCAAGACACTGGGACCCCACCGTGTGGGTCTCCTCAGGCGTCCGGTTCTCTGGCCCGGCCCCACTCTTCTAGCTCCGCTTCTGACCTCAGACGCTGGCCCTGCCCCCTCTTTCTGGCCCTGCCCCTGACTTCTGACCCAGGCAACCCTCTGAGCTCCCCCTTTGGCCTCAGATGCACAGCCCTGGCTCTTTTGTCCAGTCCTAAGTCCAGTCTCCGACGTTCTAGCAGAATCCTTGGCACCTGGCCCCAACCCTTGGACTCAGGCCCAGGAAATTCAGCCACCCGCTCCCAGCTCCGGGCGCGTGCCCCTTGCAGCACTCCTTGGCTCTCTACCTTCTGGAGCCAGCTCTGCTGCCTGGCCCAAAGTCCGCCCACCACACCCACATCCTGAGTAGGTTGACTGCCGCTCCCCAGGGCCCCACTGGGCCACCCCCCGTCCTTTACGCACACTTATTTTTGTAAGTCAGCCAGTTACTATTTCAGAAAAATCTGAAACTGGAATCCCAGTCCCTCTGCCCTCAAGCCAAAGATGTTTGCAGAAGGGCTGAAGGGGTGTGTCCTCACTTGGCAAACAGTTGGCGCCCCCCCCACCACCACCATTAGGAATCTGCATGGAGAAGCTCCAGTGGGACCTGGGCTCCAGTCAGCTGAATGGCCTGGGGGAAGTTATTTGAGCTGTGAGTTTCAGAGGCCCCCTCCTCCGTCACACTGGGGGTCACAACAAGGCCTTGAACAAGGCCTTGAACGGCCCTGTGAGTGTGGGTACTTGGTGTTGCCAAATGAGGGCCGGAGAAGGAAGCCACAGCTCCTGCCTAGGTCCTTGCTGTACTTGAGGTGACCTGTGCTCCCCTAAGAACCCTTGTTTCGGTGTGGGCACCGTGGTTATTCCCTCTGAGTTAAGCGCCTGGCAGGCGTCTGTCCCCGCCCATAGCCTGGGGGCTCCAACCTGCTGAGAAGTCAGAGGGACCCTTGCTGTCCTGGCCTCCAGGGGAGGCGCTGTCCCCTGCACCTGGAGAACACGCCTGCCAAAGCATTGACTGCATGAAACTCTGTCCTTCACCCTCTTGCTGGGCTCACCCGACACTGGACTACAGGCCGGCAAGCATGTAGAAGTGGGTGTGAGAGAGGCAGGCCCCTCGGAGCCGTCCTGGCCTGTGAGACTCTCAGCGCCCCGGCCTCCTCTCAGAGGGGGGTTCGCTCCTCATCTCTCAATGAGAAGTCTGTCAGAGGGTCTTCGTGCTCAGACATTCCCCGAACTGTCCCCAAAACTGCACCCCCCCCCACCAGCTGTATAGCCTCTTCCCTTTACCAAACTCTTCTGGGGGAAAAAATCCCCTATGCGTTCTTTTCAAAATAGAATTAAATAACAGGAACTAGCTATTTAGGGAGGAGTTCCTGAAGGGAAATGGAATCTCTACAACCTTGAAATTATAGGCCCTTTTCTCGTCTCAGAAGAAAAACATGTCAGATTGTTGATATTCTGAGCCAGACCTTGTTTTGAGATATGCTGTCCTCTGTCCGTTCACAAACTACAGCCTTTCTCCCCCTTGGAAAATAAGATCGCGTCAAGTCAGGGATTAGAAATGGGGAACCTCCGACCAGAGCCTCCCTCCGCCAGCCACACACCTCAGTACACTCCCAGGCGAGCAGCGTCAGCTCCCGCTACAGCCCAGCTCAGCAGCATCATCCAAAACGCACCGGTAGGAAAGGGTGGAACAGAAGGACCTTTCATCCCGAGTGAGCAAGGCCCGCAGCACTGCTCTCCTAGCTCTGGAAGCTCAAGGTGCCTGGGCTCAGGGGAGTCGGGGCCTCTTGCTTAAATAGGCAGTGGGAGTGGGGCAGGGCAGGCCCAAGGGGGCGGGAGATTGGGCCGCTCACCCAGCACATTAAGGCACTGTCCTTGGAGCCAGCCATGGCTCTAAGCACACGCCTGCTTGCTTGTCCACCAGGGCCTCAAGCCCACAGGCCCCTAGACCACAGACCAGCACCTGGGGTGACCCCTGGTGGACGTGCAGCTCCAAGTGAGACCGCATCCCCAGATGCACGGAGCTTGGTCCCCGTTCCTGGATGCCTCTGCCTCTGCTGAGACTCAGCCTGGGCAGCAGAAACAGCTGTGGACTTGGACCAACCTGCGCCCCAGACCAGTACGTGGTGGCCTCAGGCCAGGCATTTCTCCAAGCCTCAGTTTCTAATTTCTCGAAATAAGAACAATAACACTGACTTGATGGGTTCAGAAATAATGTTTGCAAAGGGCCCGGCACCTGGGAGGTTGATTCATTTATGCATGTGATAGAGCTGGGGCCAGGCACCTTCAGCAAAGTTCAAGCCCAGAGAGTGTGGGTAACATAGGAAAAGTCACACAGCCCTCCAGCTGAGTGTCAGAGTCAGAATGCAAGCAGATCTGAGAGTAGGCTGGGGTGGCAGACGTCCCTTACAGTGAGGGTGGGGAGTAGCTGCTGGCCTTGGGGGGAGGTCTCGACTGAACTCTGGGGAAGGAGTTATCTCTAGACCCTCAAAACCAAGGCAAAGAAAGACACATGGTTGAACAGGCTTGCTCAGATGGCCTGTGTGCTTTTGGTTGAGACCTGAGGCGGGTGCAGAAGGACCCCAGAGTAACTGCTAGGAAAACCACCAGCTGCCCCCCTGACCCAGCCACCAATTCAAATGTTGAAGCCCCAACCCCCAGTATTATTGTACTTGGAGATGGGGCCTCTAAGGAAGAAACTGAGGTTAAATGAGGTCCTAAGGGTGGAGCCTTGATCTGATAGGATTAGAGTCCTTGTAGGGAAGACATCAGAGAGCTCCCCCCTCCTCACATGGGCAGCAAGCAGGAAAGGCCAGGTGAGGACTTCAAGTCCCTGGGAACAGTGATCTCACCAGAAACCAAATCACCCAGAGCCTGGATCTCAGACTTCTAGACTCCAGAACTGCAAGAAAACACATTTCTGTTTAAGCCGCTCGGGCTGTGGCATTGTTTTAATGGCAGCCCCGGCAGACTAGTGTAAATGGGTGAGATCCAGGGGCGGCTTGAGGAGCGTGGAAAGGACCAGGAATGAATTCAGAAGTTTCCAGCTCAGGCAGGTCCATGGGCACCACAGTTGCTCACTACCCAGGGGTCAGGTGAGTGCAGGCAGTTCTCCGGGCTGAGGGATATTTGCATAGACGTGACCCTGGGAGTGGGGGCTATTCAAGCCTAGAGCTCTGGGGAGAGGTCTGGGTGGGCTCAGGACTTGGGAATTATTAGGAGTGATGATATTTCAGAGTACTTATTCTTTCCTTGTCGATTGGTTCATTCTAATTCCAATGTCATATTATATCAGCTTTTGTCTTTTATGTTTATAATTATAAAAAGTCAGACATTCTCCCTTGCTTTTAAGTTCTTTTTTTTTTTTAATTTAGATTTTATTTATCTTTAGAGGGGAAGGGAAGGAGAGAAGGAGAGAAATATCAATGTATGGTTGCCTCTCGTGAGTCCCCTGCTGGGAACTGGCCTGCAACCCAGGCATGTGCCCTGACTGGGAATCGAACCACAATCGTGTGGTTCACAGGCCCGTGCTCAATCCACTGAGCTACACCAGCCAGGGCTCTCCCTTGCTTTTAAAAAGTTTAACTGGCCCTGGCTGGTGTAGCTCAGTGGATTAAGGGTAGGTTGTGAACCAAAGGGTCGCTGGTTTGATTCCCAGTCAGAGCACATGCCTGGTTTTTGGGCCAAGTCCCCAATGGGGGCCATATGAGAGACAACCACACATTGATGTTTCTCTCCCACTCTTTCTCCCTCCCTTCCCTTCTCTCTAAAATTCAGTAAATAAAACCTTTAAAAATTTCATCGATTTAAAAATAAATAAATAAAAAGTTTAACCGTGCGCAAATTCACCCCAACTTATAAATGAGTTTGTTTTCTTCTACTTGTACAGAGTAAGTCTTGTTTAGGAGCATAACTGATATGTGGTTAGAATTGCATATTTCTTCTGAGGTCCATCTGGTCTTCCTAGTTACAATGTCAGTTCTCTTGTTTTATCTAATTTCGAAAGATCATATCTCCCTGCACTTCCCCAGATAATTTATCATTCAGAAATTTAGCAACTGCTTGTTTCTTCCGTTTAGAGTCACACTTGAAAGGTACAGTGTGTTTACTTTAGTTCTAAGCTGTGCTGGTTCTTCATCTCTGACAACTTTTCTTGCATTATTTCTTTCTTAACGTTTCCCGTGTCATATGCCTCATCCCATTTATTTCTCCCTCCTGTTTTAGGGCTAGGAGACCATTTCCCATTTTTCAAGTCTGTTATTTCCACCTCTGTTTGTTCTCCTTGTATTTCCGGTTTGATGTTTTATGTTGTCCTCGGTCGGCATCACCGAGTTCTTTGTTCTCTCGTTTCTGTAGTGCCGCCTACTACTTCCAGGTGGCTTTCAAATTCCTTTATAGTGTTTCCATTGTTTGTTCTGACTTTTTCCTGTTAG